TCACGAAATTGATGTTTATTTTTCAATAAGTTAGGTAGATCTTTTTCGTGTTGTGTTTCATCGTCAGCTGACAATTTTTGCATGGCAACATTGTGTTGTGTTTTCGTAGAAATTGTACGCGTCATCATTGGAAGGTCTTGCCCACATTGATAAGTGAGCCACGTGTTGACTTCCGTGTTCTCACTCTTCCATTTTCATCAATAGATTCCCGTTCGTGTCCCGTGGAAGCATGCGCTGGTTCATTGAGTCGAACTTCTGTCGTAGATTCAATAACTTTGGTTTGGTTGTTGCAGATCCCATTAATGATGCTCCAAATGAAATTTTCTTCGCTCTCTGGCGTTTTGATTTCCAAGAGCTGTGGGACGATTCACTTCCTTTCTCTCTAAGAGCATTATTCAATGTTGATAGTTGATCCAGATGCTTGAATAAGTATTCCGTTTGTTGTTCGAGTCCTTAAGGTTCTTGGAACTTGATCGTGTAGAAGATACAGAGGCCATCCCACACCGCTTGCTGGAATCGTCGTACCATCTACTTCCAGTTCCATCCATCTCGATTCCCCGTTCGGATGTTGCAGATATCACTGTTTCTCTCGTCCGTTCTTTCTGGAGTATTGTACATCAATATTTGTTTAAAGAAAAACAATAACATACTCTAAATATACCGGTACGGCTTTAGAAAAGTTTTGTACAAAAGCCTTGATAGCTTGCTCATTTTTGACAAAATTTTTGATGTAACTTCATAACTAGTGAATAAATAATTTTGCTAAATTAGCTTTGTAATTTGTTAGGAGCACTCTCCTTTAAAAGGGAAAAATTTTACCTCATCCGATGAATTAAACGTCTTTAATAAGATGTATGGCTGCTGCATTTGTTTAAAGGAATGTTTATGCAACATGTGTTATAGTGAGGAATATATAGTAACTATTCATATCGATCAAAAGTCTGGAATTAAACCCTAGATCAAATATCTGGATTTTCCTATAATTTATTCTGGATCTTCCTATATTTTATCCTGTATCTGATCCACATTTTATCCCAGATTAATTCCTTTATTTCATCTTGAATTTGATTTTATCCTATATTTTATTCCTGGATTGATTATATCACAGATGTTTCTAAGTCATGTGATCAGATTTTTTGTTTATACTTTATATTTTAGTAACTTCTCTTATAACTTAAAAATAAGAAATTTCTAAATTTACATGGAATATTTGAACAGGAATCACATGATTTAATTTATTACTTCAATATGGATTAATCTAGGGTTTAATAATTGGATGTGATGTAATTTTTGGTGTAATACATCAATATAAAATTAAAAAATAATGTAATCAATGTATTTTTGCCTTCTCTGCAAATTTACTTAAGACGACAAAGGTGGTTTTAAATGTTATTTGTGACAAAAACCATTTTTTTTTATCAAGTGATCAGCAAAGAGATTTCCTTTTTTTTTGGGATTTGTTTAATATCACGTGATATAAATTTGACCAATAAAAATGCGCTACTTTAAGACGTTACTTATATAACTAGATTAAAATACAATAACTTAAAATTTTAACCAAAAAATTCTCTTACCTTGATTTTTCTAGATTAGACCCCTTAATCTATTTAAACACGACAAAATATTTTTATTATTTCTATAAAAAAATATATATATATATATAATATTATTGTTATATATTTTTTTATTATTTTTTTTACCTCCCTCTTACAAAATTTCTTCAAACGTTTTTTTTTCGATATGGTAACGATAAATTTAGAATTATGGGAAAATTCAAACTTTCCACAACTTGATATTCTTGAAAATCGAACGAATGAAGTATTAGAAGCCTTCAATAAATGCAGAAAACTAGAACTCGAACTTCAAGAGGATGATACTGAAATTAAAAGATTTAATATTTCAATTAATACTTTAATCGAAAGAAGAGCTCAAGAATCTTATAAACATTCTTCGTATTCTAAGAATGTCGCTATATATATGGAAGGATTTTCAAAAGAAAGTGAAACTGTGGAAACAATTTTAATAATTTTATTAACTTTATTAAGCGAAGCGAAAGATAGACGAGAAAGTACAAATAAATTAAGACAAGATTATTAAGACTTCCTTGAAAATTTCAACAATTATTATGTGATAGATAATTTAAATAATGAACAAATCGAAATTAAAAATCCAGAATTTGCCATACCGATTTTATCTTTTTTCTTTAGTACATTTATATTTTATCTAAATACTAGGAAACGGGAACCGTTGTAAGTCCGGAACGAAAAACTAAAATTTGCCGATTCATTGGGTGACGATCACGTGATGGACAGAGAAACTCACGTGATCAATTTTTTTTCATAGTGCGTAAACATATATTGTCCTTCGCTTCGCTCCGGACAATGAATTGTGATCCTTTTTCATCTAATCAAGATAATGCGTGCAATAACATACCAGAGATATTATGGAGAACGTTGGGGCAGCTGGGTCATAATAAGAAATCATCAAATGATGAGAAAGAACAAAACGATGAGGGACTACGGGTGGTAAGAAATCATCAAATTATAAGGAAAAACAAAAGGAAGAGGAATTAAAAAAGGATAATAAGCCACTAAATAATGAGAAAGAACAAAAGGATAGGCAATCACCAAAGAATGAAAAATCAAAGGATGAGAAAACACAAAAGGAAGAAATTACAACTTGGTGTACTTCGTGGCTTTCCTGGTTCTGGTCGTGCAACTCTAAGCATCACTATCAAACACTATTTGTGCTAATGATACTAATAATCAAACAAATGGAGGGATGCACACTAATGACACTAATAATCAAACAAATCAAACAAGTGGATTTTCTCTATCGAACCAGATGAACCCGAGTCACATCAATGTCGTTAATAATAATAATCAGATAGGTGAATTTAATCAGACGGACCAGATTCACGTATCACAATATGTGAATGCCATTGTTTTCGGTATCTTGATAGCTTTATTAATGTGGATTCTTTTGCGTATAACAAAACCTACACTATATCTCCCGTGGATGAAGGATCGTAAACGTAAATCACAAAAGAGATTAGAAGAATTATCTCAGCAAAAGAATAACAAAATCTTGGAAATTAAAAACAATTGCAAGCTTCCCGTAATTATTACGAATGTGGATATTTTATGTCAATTTTGGGATAATTAAATTGATGGTATTACAAATAACAGTAATACTTTAAGATCAGTTGATGAAAAAGAAAAAATTAAGATTCCAAAAAAATTAGCCTTGTCAATTGAAGAAGATTGGAGAAATCAATCTAATAGTTGTGAGAAAAATTATATGCGCATGAAACATCTTGTGACCCTTAATTTTATTCTTACCGAATAATTTCGTTCATTTAAATTTGCGTATTTTTTGATTAGTCGGTTCTCTATATAATCACAGTTGCTAAAAATGTGATTAACATAACTAGATTATTATTTATATATATAATTATATATTCGAATGTACTTCTTATCATAAATATATTATTTATTATTTGTATTTATTAAATTACAATAAAGAACAATAAAACTTGATATCCCATTTATCCTATTTAGGAAACAGAAACAAATCATTTTGATTTCATTTAAATAAATGAAAAGAAAAAAATCATGAGAAAATTTTTTTGTTTGACCAATCGTAAAGAAGCAGCAAAACTTTAGAAAACTTGTTAAATTTTAGGGTAATGAATTCATTAAACTTTGTCAATGATTTTCAGGGGGGATTTTAACTAAAATAAAATTTTCATTTTTTATAAAAAAAGCAATGATTGCTTTTGTATTATGGAAAAAAATAATATAACAGATAACCTTTTTTTTTTTATTAGATTTATTTGACAATTGGATTTTTCCTTTTAGAAAGATTAAGGGGGTAATACAACAGTATAATTATTTTAAATTATGTAATTATATATATGACTAATCAATTATTTTTATATTGAGTAATGAGTATAGACTGAATTACTTAAATAAGCTGAAAATGGTAAGAGTACCAGTTTCAGTTTTTAATTAGTTTTCCATCTTTTACAAATTAATAAAACTTAAAACTATTCTACCAATTGTTGAATTTGTCTAAATGATAGGAATCCAATGGTGGTAGATCATTTTTTTTATGAAAAATATATTTTATTATACATTATTTTTAAGTTAAATAAGAAATGTTCAAGGTTTAAAAGCAGTTGCATTTAAATAATATTTGATATTGAATTAATAATGAAATTTTTATAATAGATGTTATATTTAAATGTACAAAAGCTATACTGACGAGTGAAACGATGATTAAATCCATAATTTTTAAATTTTTTTTTTTTAAAAAAAAATAATAATAAAAATTTCAAATAATTGAATAAAAATAAACATTTATTAATTGGAGAATTTGATACGTTCATTAATGAGGTGATACAAAAATATTCGATAATTATTAATTAAATAAAGGATGGTGAAATAAAATTTTTTAAAATTAGTAAGAAAAAAAATACGTCAAAACGTGTAATTAACTAATTATCTCTTACTGGTAACTGCTGGTAACAGCCTGTTTAAAAATTCACTTGCTCAAGATATTATTCATTCTGTTCGATTTTTTTTTTCGTGTTAAAATATATTTAGTTTGTGAACGATAAAGAAATCATCAGATCTTACCTAATTTATTTGATTTTATATTTGGCGATCATAGAGTTTTTCCGGACGGACATTAATTTATTTTTGCACAATTTTTCATGTTCCTTTGATAAATTTTCTTGAACCCTAGAATAAAAATAGTAAAAAAGAAATCCTTAATAACTTCAGTAATGAACCATTATAAACCAAACTACAACTTTATATATAGCTTACGTTTCTGATTTTGGTAGCACAACGCAATGAAATATAACCAAAATTTACCTAGTGAAACGTACACGAACAATCAATTGCTATCTTTGGTTTACATATTGAATTTTTATATTTAAAAATAGTAAGTTACTTTTCTGTTTTTGAACCTTCCTTTCTTTTTTACGTTTAAAAATAAGTTGGAAAAAAAAAATTATTTTTTAAGAACAATATTTATACACCTCCAAGTCTTTAATGGAGGCGAGTATACTTTTTAGTTAATATTATGACTTCTTAACAGTACCACATTATAAAATAATTATATTAATATTATTTTTAATTATACTAGAAGTTTGAAGTAGACCCACGGAGAGTTCTCTATTCTCAAGATAGTATCAGAGCCAAGTTCCGGAATGACGAACCTATTGAGGACACTATCGAAAAACTTATATCAGGAGAAATATCACCGAGTCAAATCAGATGTATGCGCGTATGTATTTTAAATGGTAAAATGCATTCATTAGACAATCGACGACTCTATGCGTTCAAGGAAGCCGTTAAGCGTGGAAGTAGATTCAAAACCGTGATTGTTATAAGAAGCGATGATTACCTTGAACTTCAAAGTAAAATGTCAAAAAGTCCAAGAAATTTTGACTGGTCAGAAATTAGAGTAAGGGGTAGAACGCAAATTAAGCCTAATCTTTATGTGAATAGTTCGCCTAGTATTTATGTAAATAGTGTACCTACAAGAAAATCTGGTCTTCATGTGAATAGTGTACCTACAAGAACACCTAGTCTTTATGTAAATAGTTCACATACGAGAATACAAGATAGGCCTATTATTTATGTGAATAGTGTATCTACAAGAACACAAAATAGACATAGTCTTTATACGGATAGTTTACATACAAGAACACAAGATAGTTCAAGTATTTACGTGAATAGTTTATCGAATAGTAATTATTATACAGGGACGCAAGGTAGGCCTAATACTTATGTAAATAGTTTACCAACGAGAAAGAGTATTGTTACGGGCTTTGGTGATGATGATTATGCAAGTAGTACTACGCCAAAGACTTCTAAAAAAAGTGGTTGGTGTGTTATAGCTTAGTTTCTTGTAAGTTTCTTTTCATATTTAACGAATAATTTATACGTAATTTAAATGTATGTTATTAAGTTAAATAAATTTATTATATCTGATATCTTTTGTTAACGTGAACATCAATTGCCTTTTACCAATGTATAATATCATGATGGGAGGTTTCGTTAGAGTTATATTTATTAATCCAAAGGAAACCAGACTGCATAGCCAAAAAGAAGGTCCATGGAATAAATATAACAGTCAATTAGTTCAAACCAGTCCCTTTTGAGTCAACGACATTGATTTGCTTACGTGACTGCTAGTTGGTGAATAGTAATCCTAAACTTTATGTTTTTTATAATTTTTTTCATCCGTTGGTTAAGATTTTATTGGCTTAGCTTCAAAAAGTGGAATTATCGTGGATCGAATGCTCTAAGTGCGATTAAAACCTGAAAGAAGTTACGATGATAACATCAGTTGATTGGACTTAAATTGGTGAATAATATGAGATAATTTTCGTCATGAATCTGATAGTTTCACGATTTCACGCACCCATCAACAAAACACTATCAACATCAGTTCGAAGTTACATTTCTAGAGTGTTCAACAAATAATGACACGTTATTCCTGATTGCATTATCAATGAATTCGTTAATACCTTCTCACCTTCTCTGATATCAATGGGCGCGCAGCATTTCATTTGTTAATATACCCTTATGCTAACTTAACTTATGCTAACTATATTAGAGGTGGCCGTAAAATAATTCATGTAGAAGTCGATTGAGATGTCAAATATTTATGATTTTAAACGACCATACAATTCAATATTTAATATATTATGGTGTTTTTTGTCATTAAAGTGCTCTGTACATCTATCTATACGCTTTCGTTTAGAAATAGAAACACAATACATAATTTGGAAATCCAAGCTCGGTGATTGGAATTCTACCATAGTATATAAATACGTAATAATTAACAAGATAGTTGGTAAAAAATTTGGTGATTTTGTTTCATTACTTATTTTTTGTTAAACAACAAAGTGCTACTTTCTGTTTAAAAGATCATGATTAATACGTTGATATTTTATTAGATAATAAAATTATCATTATATTTGCTTATCACAATTTTTTTTACATAAGTTGACTTATTTCTGATATAACATACAATATCACCAAGAAGGAGAGGTGGTGGTTGTGGTCTTGTGGATCCCATCAAAAATTTTTTGATTCAACATCACATGATATACCTGTATGACGCCTAAGCAGACCTTGAACCAACTTCAATTTTAATATTTTAGCTATATCGTAATTACATTAAAATTTTCAGGATTGCTTACTAAAGTCAAAGAAAATTTATTTTTCACGTAGGTAATTCTCAAACCAAATAGTTTAAATAAAATTTTGATTGACTAAGACCAAAAAAAAAATAATTCAATTATGAAAAATATTGTTTAAAACTAATTTGATAGTCTATAAATCAAAAAAGGTAAATACGAAAAATGATATTTATTTTCAGACGTTATGTCTAAAGTTTCCTATTTGTAAGAATATCAAATTGAATTAAAGTTCGGGTAAATTCCTAAGTCTAGTATAATGATATTTTCGGAAACCATATTTAAGGTTATTTGTGAACTTGCAGTAATTTCAAGCTCTTGTGAAGAAGGCCAATCATACTTTCAAAGGTAAACTATCAATCAGGATTTCGACCCTGAGATCACTACTGCTGTGGTAATATTTGAGGAACTCACTTAACGCAGGATTCGTGGTATTTGATTTGAGGCCAATCCTCTATCGATCAGAGTCCGATGGGATATCAGTCTCAGATCAATCATGGATCAACCGTCAATCATGGCACATCCCATAAGATCTCGTGCATCAATTTTAGTATAAATATATTAGATGATGACCTTTCATCATATTTTTCGACTTGAGAATTTCCTTTGAAGTAATGGAATTGTTTCTTAACTCGATCATGCTTGATTAGCGTAAAAGTTCTTACCAGTTGCAAAATCTACGAACAAAATGATAATAAAGATCTTGGAATTTCTCAATTCAACTGTGTTTTATGTTGTTGATTGCTAGAGAATATCTTTATCCGGTATCACGTGATTTCTATAATTAAAAAAAGTGGTTTAAAATCGCAATATTCAAATCACGTGATGCCTGAAAATCACTTATTCGCCGAATAACTAACGCTAGCAGTACGCTAGCTTGTTATATTGCAAATTTGATCAGTTGATCTCGGGCTCCACAACCAATCAAATTTGATTTACCGATATAACAGTTAACTATTAAATATAAGACTCAAGATAAAATATGGGATATATTTACAACTTTACATACCGTTCTTTTATTTTACATTAATTAAACATCATATAAATAATCATTCTATTTTATAAGTATATTTAGTATATTTCGTACCTGAAAATTACTGTATATTTTCAAAGTTGACAATGAGACTTAATAAAAGTCAAATGTCGCCTCTTCTATGCATAATGTAGTTTCACGTTCAAGTTATTCAATGAATAATCAATGAATTAAGTGATAATTTTTTGATTGAAATTACGATTAAGTTAGATTCTCTTCAGATCTTATCTATATTCGGTAAGGTTACATAAAAGTTTCACATGTATGCATTCGTCATCAAATCCAATGTTACGCAATAAATAATCGAGTTTTTCCGGCCAAATAATAAGGGAATAATTTTTTTTTCTTACTTTTTTATAAAGATATTTTGTATAATTTTTAATTTTTTTTAATAAAATTATCCTAAATTCTTTAATAAAAATAAAAAAAAGAAAGGATTTCTTAATAACTTCAGTTTTAACTTTATTTGAAGCTTATATGGTTTCATAGTTAAAGTAGTTAAAGTTATTCGCAGTAACGCACAACTTAGTAACACAACGCACCGTTACAATCATGAATATAACCAAAAATTTACTTAGTGAAACGAGCATGATCAATCAATATTTGTTTAATATATATAAAAATGGTATCTGATTATTGTTTTTGAAACTTATTTAAGAGAAGTTGCAAAAAAAAAAATATTTTCAGGAGTTATAATTTTATATCTTCTAAGTCTCTAATGGAGGTGGGTATTCTTCTTTATTTTCTTTTTATTATGACTTCTTAGTAATGCCACATTATAAATAATGAAATTAAATTATTCTTTAATAACACTATAAGATTGAAATAGACCCACGCGAGGTTTTCTACTCTCAAGATAGTATCAGACCCAGGTTCAAGGACGACAACAGACATGTTGAGGATACTATTAGACAACTTGTGAAAGGAAAAATTTCACCAAGACATATCGAACGTATTCGCGTGTGTACTTTAAACGGTAGAATGCATTCATTAGACAATCGACGGCTCTATGTGTTCAAAGAGGCTATTAATCGTGGAGGTAATTTCGAAACTGTGCCTGCAGTGAGAAGCTATGCACACGAAGAACTTCAAAATAAAATGTCAAAAAGTTCTCCGTTTAATGACTGGTCAGTAATTAGAGTAAGGAAGGATACACTTTCCGGAACACGATATAATTATAGTAGTTATACATATGATACGGATTCGGATGATGATGAGGATACAAATACATTTGCAAATACGTCATATACAAGAACACCACAATATGCAAATACGTCATATACAAGAACACCACAATATGCAAATACGTCATATACAAGAACACCACAATATGCAAATACGCAATATACAAGTACGCAATATACGACGGGGGTGACGAAAACAAGTACAGTATGGAATCCTATGTATGTATGTATGGTGGTCAATGTATGGTATGTATGGTGGCTCATGTATAGTATATTACTATTGTGATAACTATACCGTATGAAAATTAACACCATACATACCATACATTGACCACCATACATACATACATAGGATTCCATACTGTACTTGTTTTCTATATAATCACATACGACACCACAATATACGACACCACAATATACAACACCACAATATACAACATCACGATATACAACACCACGATATACAACACCACAATATACATATTCAAGTACGCAAAATACGGAAGAGGAAAATGATTCTGGATGGTGTGTTATACTTTAGTTTTTTGCAGTTTGGTTCTCATATATTAACGTATAGTTCATTGTGATTTAAATGTAATTGATTAAATTGAAATAAATTATTTTTTATGACACGTGAAATTTAAGTATATTATTTAAATTCGTCAATATATTTTGTATATTGTAATAAAGTTTATAATTTCTAATATTTGATTTATTTGATTGCACAAATAAATCGGAACAAAAACTTTCAAGGAAGAGACGTTAAAGCTCAGTTATTATTAACGTGAGAATGTAACTACAATTAGGTGTATGAATGATATAACAGAAACAGGTTCCCCAGAAACATGGGTATATAAAGCCTATTTACTAGGTCCTTAATCCATCGTAACGTTTATTATATAGAACCAAGTACGATTTAACTGAAGATTTTGATTTACTTAAATTGCCGGGAAACAAATTTATGATTTTTATAATTAATCATGCATGTATTCATAGATAGACCTTTATGAACGGATATTATATGAAATCAAAATTTAGAAGAAATTACGATGATAATATCGCATCAAACAATAAACCGGATTTAATTGATATCTTAATGCAGTAAGTAGTTTGAAGTTTTTGAAATTTGATGCATTAAATTGGTTACTTCTAGAATTTAAGTTTTTACGTGCACAGATAACCTTTGTTCAAAGAAAAAATCTAGCAATTATTGTCATAATCGTACTGTGTAAAGAATAATAAGCATCATTTTGACAAGAATTTTATGGTGAATTGCTCAATGCCTTAAACAATGGTAAAAAAATATTACATATCGTACTCATGTTTTGAATTATATAATAGATAACGGGTATTTCTATCACAAACTACTATTTGTAGATAAATAAAAAAGATGTTTTCCTGACCAAAAATCCTATAATAAGGTTCTCTTCCTTCAGGGCTGTCTCAAACTGTACTTTGAGCTAACAAATTTATTGTATCAAGGTAAAAGACAAAGTTTCTAATGTTTGATGCATATTTTGCTTATAATTATTATTAGAATATGTTATTAAACTAATATTATTGGACTTTATTTTCTATATTATGGATGGGAAGAATTAATTAATACTATCTGAACGTAGCAGAAAAATATAACTATGATGTTCGTTCTATAGTGAACTTTAGAATTTGATCATATCTAAATATTCACACAACCGAACTGACTTTTTGCAATATTTTTTCATGAAAAATCTTAAAATGTTTGTTCCCCTTTCCGTTTATCTCCTGACGTACAATTTGGATTATTAAGGATCGAACTTATTTGCACTTCCGGTAGTATCTAACAAGTTCTTTTTGAGTATCTTTCATGAGATCGTAAGTTAAATCCCAAAACCATCCCAATCAATCACATATTACTTATTCGGTACTATCCATTAAATAGATTTCTTTTTACGACTTCCATTTTTGATTTCAAGGCAATTTCCAGCATTTCCGTTGATCCGGCACGTTCCATAAGCAAAGATTCCGCCAATATTATTGGGCCCCCAAGAAACATTTTTATATTCTATGACAAGATGTTGGTGATTAGCATAGGCGAAATGGTACAGTATATGGGACATAAGCCCACTCTGAATTAGAACGGTTTTTTATCCGATCAATTCCATTGTTTCCCGAATCACAACCTATTTCTGTTAATGCAGAATCACGCCAAGGACTTTCCAACTTTTCACATTCATTATCGCTAGTTCCTATGACTCCAGGAACTACTGTTATTTTATGGAAAATAGAGTTCATACGAAAATGTAATTTGAGCTTGAGGCTCTACATTTTCGGTTCCCTTCATTATAACTTTATGTAGAATTTTATCTATTTTAATTTCATTATGTACGTAATCCGAAAGTTACAGAAACAATAATTAGGCAACCGACTTGTTATGGGTGGAATAATCCTCTTCTACGCTACACTCGAGGCTTCTACCAACTTTATTTTCGTCAGGAAAGGCTTCTGACACATTGTAAGAAACGTGCGATTTTTCCTCCATGCTTTAATAAATATTTCTTCTACCTAACTAAGTTTCTGTTAAAGTTTAATAAAGGCAACTTTCAATTTTTGTATTTTTACAGGAAAAGGGAATTTGCGATAATAACATAATCTGAAAATTGGTGTATCATCCTTGCACCTAAGTTTTTTTTTTCTTTTTCAGCATCAGAAATTTATTTGTATATAAAATATGAGAACCTTTAAGGACCATTTATTTTTTTTCTAATTTGACCAACCACTCGTATTTTTAAATAACGAGAGGATAATAGTGATAATAGTAGTGAAAATAGTTGACAAAGTCATCATTTTTTTTATATATAAAAAAATATTCTTTTAGATAAGTTGTTCTCTGTTAAAAAAAGGCTAAGTAGAAGCAAGGATTATTTCGAGGCTATGCTTAAGATATATATATTTAATCTCATTTTCATTTTTTTATTAGGTCTTCAGGTACATCTGCAGGTCGGGTGAAGTGGTTATTATCAGATATATCAGATTATTTTAAAATTAAACAAAATGGTTTTACAGTATATCATATTGTTATTAAAATAGTAATAGTCTTCTATTTTGCTTTATTTGTTACTAAAATTCTGATTAGATGGAAGGAATCGGAGGTCATAGAAGTTTTGAAGATGCTAGGTTATGTTAAACGTTTACGGGCTAAAAAGCATACATATCAAGACAGTCAAAGTTGAAATACACCTTTTGCACAAACATGAGATTTTAGTAAACAGGAATACGTGAATGTGTCTTACAAGAATAAAATGTATTTTTTTAGGTGGTTCCCAGCAGCAGACGTGCACATTAAACGTATCAGAGAGAAGACTAATGGCAAGCTATTAAATCGTTGAAGGAGACATGGGCGACAATGATATATATACTCACTGAATTATGTAAAAAAATACGTGTTTCTTTTTGGAAAAAAGTTATTCTTAATGGAAATTATATTTTTGGGCGTACTTTTTGTAGTACAGGAAAGGTAAGAGATGATAGATTTGTCAATTAAAGAAGAAAGCTCGGAAGAAGCGTGGATTATAGATTCAAACATCAAATATAGATATAGATTTGAACATAAAGATCCATCTTCGGAAGGAACAAGTCACGACAATGTTACAGATGAACATACTTTTTATAACAATTATCCTGAAATTAGTTTTTAATTATGGTTAATATTAAAATTTTAAGTGGCTGTATACATATAATAATAGATAGAAACAATTTTTTATTATAAAATGTTTAGATCTAGATGATACGCATTTATTATTACCAATTATAATTTAGCTAATTATACTTATAGGATTTAATTTTTACGCGTCAAATATTATAAAACTTCAACTTGCACACTAAAATAGGATTATACAGTATATTATTCAGGAATAAATATTCTTTTTTATAATCACCTTTTTTGTTAGATCTAATTCATTGGAAGTTGTCTTTTTTTCAGGATCATCCTCTCTCCTCTCAATATCTTTTCATACATTAATTCGACATATTTATGAGTATAGTGTATTAGTGTTATGACTTATGATCCGGATTTAACCAAATTCGTAAATAGTCAATATAATCCATTAGGGCGTTCTTAGGCACTTAATTCAGTGAATCGAAGAAAAATTTTTATTAATAAAATTGGTCAAATAAATAGTCGCTTCAATCAAAAAAACTTTTTTGCTTTTTTTTCATAGAGCTAGCCAAAAAGCGCAGTATTTCCGTATATTGTCTCGTATTTACTCCATTTTTTCAATATTTACTTCAATCGATCGTAATACTTGAACAGCATCTCAATCACTAGCGAGAGAGGATGTCCCTAATCTAAAAAAATATGATATTTGTAAATTATTTGTGTACTTCTAGTGTACTTCTACAGCAGAAAACCTTAATATGCAATAAAGTTACTGTAAGTATAATCTTGTATAATCTAATGTCGATTTATATTTAATAGTAACTCATGTTTCAACTTCATATCAAATGTCTCAACTTCATATCAAATGTCTTCACAGATTCCAGATTTTGAAAACAAAATATCGTAAATAATAAATTTCGTAAAATCTCTTCCAAAAAGATGCAAATCGTTTATTTTACTGTGATATTGATTAAGTGGTCTCATTTTCTTATTAACAATTTTAATAGTTAATTCTCTAGATTGATCATTTCATGCTTGATGACGTTGATGTAATATTTAATATTGAACCCAAAAACGTGAAGTTCTAAAAAGTTAAGATTTACTTCAATTAACAATAATTTTCTATCTAATATGATACATATATATAATAAAAATATTTAAAATACGTAAAATTAATACAAAAGTAAAAATAAGTAAAAATACGCGTAAAAATAATATTAAATTAATCATACTGATAACAAACCCAGCCATTCTGTTTATTCTTAATAATATATAAAGTTTTGTTTTTCTACGATTCTGAAACAGTTAATTGTTAAAGAATTTGTAAGAGGTTAGATTTCATCAATATCTTGCCTAATTTATAATATCCTGCCTGCAGATCTTGCGGCTGAATGTTTATTATAAATAAAATTTCACATGTGAGCTATAAAAATAAAAAAAAGGGTATTATCAAACTATTGATGTTACACGAACATAAACGAAAAAAAAGGCCTTATCAAGGGTTATCTTTTGTAGATTCTAAGATTCTTCATGTATTCATGATTAATAAACCCTCTCCAAAGATAGTAAAATCAAAAGAAAATTCTCAGAAATGAACCTTTCCAAACTAATCTACAACTTTATCTAAAAACTCAGTTTTATTTGGTGATACAAATCTTTGGTAGCACAATGCCTATACATTCAAAATTTACTTTGTTGAAACGAAGATCAATGTCAGTTGACTCCCACTTTCCAGATTTATATAAATTTTTTTAAAAAAGGGTACGTTGCCCTTTGTTTTTTGAATCTTTGACTTCTTTGTAACGTTAAAAGAAATTTGCACAAAAAAAAAACCAAAAAAAAAAATATTATTTATATATATACACATATATTTAAATGCAAACATATTTTTTTGAGAAATATTATCTCTAATGGAGGTGAACATTCTTTGGTTTCATTTTGTTATAATCTCTTAGCAGTGTCACATTATAGCATAATGACGTTAAAATTATTCTTAAAAATACTATTATAAGTTTATTAAAGTAGACCCACGCAAGGTTCTCTATTCCCAATATAGTATCAGGCCCAGGTTCAGAGATGACGAACTCATTGAGGATACTATTGATCAACTTGTATCAGGAGAAATATCACCAAAAAATATTGAACATATTCGCGTGTGCACTTTTAAAGGTAAAATGCATTCATTGGACAATCGACGACTTTATGCATTCAGAGAAGCTATTAAGCGTGGATGTAGTTTCAGAACCGTACCTGCAATAAGAAGCTATGAATTCGATGAGCTCAAAAGGAAAATGACAAGTCCTCCGTCTCCTGATTATTCAGTAATTAAAGTAAGGAGGGATATTTATATACCTGAGGACTTGTATGATGATGATGATGATGATGATGACGAGTATGAAGAGTATGATGATGAAGAAGATGACGATGAGTACGATGAATATGACGAGTATGAAGAAGAAGATGAAGATGATGACGACGAGTATGATGATGAATCTGATGAAGACGAGGATGAGTATGATGAAGAGTATTATGGATATGATTATGATGATGAAGACGACGATGAGTATGATGATGATGAATATGATGAGTATTATGATTATGATGTTTTGAATAGTTTTGGGAGGTTATATATTTGACGTCCCGTATAGTTAGTTTAATTTTAATATAATTGATCAAATTAATAAAATTTGCTTTACTGTTAACGTGAACTTTTATCTATTATTATTATTATTATTATTTTTTGAATTTTGCCATACTGTATACTTAAGTGAGATATTGATTATTAATATAATGATAAAAGTTATATATATTTTTCGATTCAAAAAAGATAATTATTATTATGTAACTACAATTGGATGCATGAAATAATCGAAATATGTAACGGAAAAAGTTTAGGTATAGTAATATTCTTTGTATCATAATTAAAATTATATTAGTTAAAGTTATAACGTTGACTAGAGCTCGAGTCCGATTTGAATCGATGACATTTATATGGTTGAATGGTAACTGCAAACAAATTTTTTTTATATATCATATTATGAGTTTCAAGAAATGGGAATTATCATGATCAAACATTAAATACAATATCATTATGTTAATTGGAGATTCAGTCTGAAATTTAACGTATTAAGTTATTATGAATCGGAAATCATACTATGACACCGTCACTACATCAAAAGATACAATTAAATAGATGACGATGCGGGTTACATTATCAATGAATTATCTTCTCTGGCGTAATGTCCATTTATAAAAAACATAAAGACTATTATTATATATCAGATATATACTATACTGTATTTAAACAGTACAAAACAATTGATATAAAAAATTACAAACTAAAAAGAACTGCAGGCACCTCTATCTACCATAGTAGTAAACTACCCAAACAACATTGCCATAAGCTTTCACTCATGTTACCGCCAACTTAATGTTTTAAGCCCAGGGCAGGGCACAGTTATAAGTTATATTTATAACAATTTACATGCTTCATTTTTTCATCAAGGATTTTAATGACAGTATTCGTATAGGTTATTTATTCTGATCTCTTATTTTGTTCTCTTCTCCATTTTATCAAACCGTAACTATTCGTCTACAAAAGAATTAACTGTTTTTATAGAGGTAGTCGTTAAGTATAGAAACCCAATTTGGATGGTAATCATGGTATTAAACATCTGATGTTTTGAAACGACAATGCGATTTCGATTCTTTGATAATGATGTTGGTACTTCTCGTCATTAAGATGTTCTGTATACCTACAAATATATACTTTTATTGCAAAAGCTGAAAATCCTACTTGCAATAATATTTTCGTTTTAAGGCAAATACGTGATTAAGACTAATTAAGATATGTATGTCCAACTCAAGCTGATGATTTGCATGGTTAAATAAGAAAAACCGTAATGAGATACGAGTCACCTTAGAATTGACACACTATAAAAGCAATATTACTTAATAAATCAAAGATTTATCAAATTAAATTACACTCTTTGATCTCTACATTCACTCAAATCACTTATTTGTTTGGTCCTGCCACGTCCTCATTACATAAGTTATTACTATTAATGAATCTTTTAGTTTACGAGAATATGTAAGCTTGCTACTGCAACACACCTTGTGCGGAAAAGGCCATTTATTATTTTTTCTCCTCTTCTCAAAATGCAAAGGCCAGAGTTCTCTGTTAGTTTCATACTTGAGTTTGTTGTAATCAGTCGGTAAGTACATTTCTTCGCAATGCAAATATCAGACAAGAAGCGATTCCACACCCTAAAGCTAAAAGACATCGCACGAATGTTTATTGTTTGTTTTAGAAACTTTAATGACATATAAGATAAGAATGTGGCGGAGGACCCTGCTGTCTATCAACGTTTCGTCTAACTACCTCTTCTTTAGCCATCAGCGCCTCGTCTATGGTTTCGTCAATAATGGCAGCGGGAGTTATTCCCAGGATCCCACGCAGCAGCATGCCAAGACGAACTACTGCATGCGCATCAGCGCATAGCGTATGGTTGCAATGTTACCCATTTCAGTTGCGCAGGACCCAACGCACAATCCTTCTCATAGTAACGTTTTTGCTTACTTATCCTGATAACACAATTATACGCATATCTCGATAATCCTATCCACCGTTTCAACAGTTGCGATTGTGAGTGATTTGGATAGACATTTACTTGTAAAGACCTGTATATCGTTTCACCACCTTTCTCTTTCTCCCGTGTGTTACGGACCGCAGTCGTTTTTGGTTTTCTTCTTCGTTTTACAGTCCTTTCTTTTTCGGGTAAGTGTATAGTGACTGGGTTAATACTGGCTGTATCATATGCCGATGATGTAAACCATGTGTTTTGTAGAATACGGTGAGACAGTCATATCCTCTGGGATAGCCATGAAGCTTGTTCGTTCCAATACTTTCAGGGATCAGTAGAAACCAAACTGTGGCATATTTGGATGTATCAAAAATACGGCTCCTTTTTTTACTACGTACACTATATTATGGAAATATATTTGTGGCAAAAAATTTATCTTAGGTGGTAAATTATGTGTACCTTCGTCTCTATAACCAAAAACAATATTTACTTATTGAACATGATCTGCTATTATTAATATGATTGCATGAAAAAATTCTAATGGTATTTATTAATTACTGTGGTCGTACAGTTTGCTTTTGTGATTAAATGATTAAAAAATTAAGAAAAAGCTGAGTATGAAAAATATTTAATTATAATGAGATAAAGTCTGTGCAAAAGTATTGTGATCATTGTGATCGAAAAAAAATTGTCAACTAGTGATTGAAAAGAAAAAGATGCCCTTATAAAAGTCTCTGCAAAAGTCTATACTTACACGAGATCAATGATTTTGACGTACTTTCATGGCTATATTTAGATATGGCTGGAAAAACTATATAAAAAAAGTGTTCAAATTTGCTTGCTCAAATTTTTATTTTGTTGATAATACAAAAAATAATTTTTTTAAATCGATAATAATTTTTTTTTAAAATCAAAAATAATTTCAAACTTATATTACTGTATATGAGAATACCCGTTCAAATTTCTTTGTTTTTTTTTATTTTCGCTTGTATTAAGACTCCTAAAAAAAAAATGAATAAATACGCCAACTACTTCGACAAACCTTCAGAAGAATGGTCTTTACCGGATTTCGCGACTCGCGAGTTTTGTCATAAAAAACTTCGAAACGTGGGATGCAAAAACCGTACATTAAGACTTTTATAATATCCTAATGACATCATTTTAAAGGAATCCTCACCCGAGGATTATATTAACCGAGCTAGAAATTTGATTCAATGATTTATGTCATTGATTTCGTTTATTTTCTTTCTTGCAATGAAACTAGCCGAACCAGAATCCCGGTAGCTCTTTTATTTTTCTACCGTACAATGTATCTTGAATGTAAGCCAGCCAGAATTTCTGGGCTATCTTATCATACAAGGTTCCTTGTGTAGATTATAGAAGAATCGAGATCTCTAGAAACTGCTTTAATCTTGTTATGATAAGGACAAAGACCTTAAACGAGCAAAAGTTAAGTCAGATGATTTAAACCTAAAGGTGAGCAAGATATTTATTTTAATTTAATAATTTTTTTTTAAATTAATAAATTGATTCAATTTGATAATTTTATATTGCAATAGGAAAAAGCTCTAGATCTCAAAGAGCGGGAGCTTATGTTGAAAGAGCGAGAAGCAAGGATTCGCATACTAGAAAAACTTGCAAACATTATTGAATGAAAAAAATTGAATGTCATAGCTTATGATTTATTAAATAAATCAAATTTTTAATGGAAATATTTAGGTATAATATAAAATTAAAACATTTCGCTTTATCACGCTTCAGATTTTGAATAAAATTATTTATCAGAATTTTTAGTATATTATTGCAAAATATTATGAAATAGTTTATTAAGTTACACACATTTAATGAAGATAATTGACACTATTAATTATTTACAAATTATTGACTAAAGAACAAGTTATGATCTTTGAGTTCTGGTTGTAATAAAAAGTTAGACATTCATAAAAAAAATTGGCCTAATTAGTTGTGCTAAATTTTGGCAACTAAATTATTGATAATGATCAATCGTAAACTTGTAGGAGGGATATTATAAAAACAAAGTCTTGGGTGCAAGTAAATTATTACTGGACAATAAGCGTATGATATAGGTTATACTGATATAATTGCTAAAAATGAAACCATAAATAAATTAAAAGAATTTCTCGATCCATATATATTAATTCGTGAATTGTCGGCTCACTGAAAAATAAAATAAATAACGTTACAAAAGTATTTACGCAGTTTCTTGTCAACCAGGAATATTCCGTTCCTGACAATTCTCCTGTTAAGTAGCGATTTCCCTCTTAATTAATATAGATGGAAACCTCCGAAAAAATGCGTAGTACGAATGGCTGATTTTTTTTTATCTCGAGAAAAAGGGTCTTGCAAGCAAAGAAGCAACATTCGCGACGTACAGTGCTAGCGAAAAAAAAATATTGAAGAAAGTTTCATGACGAGACATTATGCAATTAAGGTAGGTTTACTTTCAGGTTGAGGCTAAGCTTTTCAAGGGCGTCTTCAGAGTTACATTTTCATTCCAGGATTTAGCCCGTTTTTTCTCACAAGTTCGAAAAAACAAATAATATATTTAGATTTTTCATCATTTTTCCGAGAGACGAGGACAAATGAAACGGATTTAGGATTCGATGATGGAGTAGCAGGTATTATGTATCGATGGGGGATTAGGCGCAGTGGATAGAATAGACTTTATAATGTACTGTATTCCGGGCAAAGTCACGTACTTGTTTATTCAATGTATTGCAAAATAAAACAGCAGGCAATTTCTGAATAGGATCACAGGTAACATAGGTTACGGGTACCTGACGGGCCTAACACGTAAAATAAATACCTTTATTTACTACACTTGTAATAATTTACACGCAGATTAAATAATAGTATAATATCACCAATAATATCTGTCTGTTTGATTTTGTTCCTTTCTCGGTCACTTGATAATAGCGTGACCAGAGACATGACGCAAAAAATAAATGTAGCGCTGTTAAACTGATTAAAAAATAAATTGTATAATTATATGACGAAATAAGCCACTATCAAGCTTATTACAGTATATAAAGTATAAACTATATAAACACGTCTTTATATTTTTTTTTTAAGCCCTAAGTCGATATTATATTTTTCTTCTCGTCCCGACACGATTATATTTTTTTTTTACACGATATTTTCTTTTCTCTATCCAAGTCACTTGAACAAGTCTTATTTCACAATACAATGGGAAGAGGTAAGCATAACAGTTCAAGTATGCTGTGTAAGTGTTGCTACTCTGGCGAAAATGCAATCAACTTCTCCTCACTCTTTCTTGTGAAGTGAGATTAAAGGACTACTTGTTCTGGAAGAGGAACCGGTTACGTGCCTTTATGATAAAGTAACTTGACTGAGAGTTTGAGAAGGTTACCACCCTCCCCTTGTGGGAGTGCAACCACCGCTCCCCTTCGTGGGAGTGCAACCACCGCTCCCCTTCGTGGGAGTGCTACCACCGCTCCCCTTTGTGGGAGTTCCTTATATAAGAGTGCAACACTTTCCCAGTTTCCCTTGGGTTTGTCTAATGCTTATTGTTTTTTTATAGTGTGCTGCGGAAATCCCGAGCTCGCTGTTATGGTGGGGGTGATATTACGGGTCTCAGCACCCACGTAGTAGAAAAATATGTTGAGGAAGCAACAAAATTTAATTTCATTCATGTAGTAAAAGAAGAAGAAAAGGGGTAATTATAAACAATTATGATTTATTTCTCTTTAAATTACTAATAAAGGTATTTTCTAGTTTTGGATTCGTACATTTTAGAACAAGACGTCAAGCTTCCTTATTTTATATTCAAACAAGAAATAAATCATATCAATATGATGAAGACCGAGGTAGGGATCGGAAAAGATTCGATTAAAATCGAAACTATCGAAAATCGATAAGAATCAATTTTAAATCGAATCTCGAATAAAAATCGAATCTACTTATTGTGGCGCAGTTTCGTTAATTTGACCGTAAATTATTATTTGTTCATAATAGTTAATTTTGGCCAAATTCATAATTCCGCCCGCGAATCACGTGACGGAACACAAACTTCCTAAAAAGGAAATTTCATCTCCCAATAAAATTCAAGTTGCTATCGCACAAGGTTGTACAAATTTCCAAAAAAGGAAATTTTTTCGTCGATCACTGTAATTTGTAATCACGTGATATGTGTTTAAACAAACCTATTATAAATAGTATAAAAAAAAATCGGTATTTGCGAAACGATTAATCGCGATTAATCGATTTTAGAATCGATTCTAATAATGGGAATCGATTCCAATCCCTAGACCGAGGCCCATTTAAATTTTATGCTGCGAAGTATTTTAATTCTGATCGAAAGGTTAATTATACACTGGTAAAGTTTTTTATTTTATTTATTATTATAAATTTACCTGGTGGATCTAATAATATAGTAAAAACTGTTTTGTTTATTTAGGATGAAGAAGCCGATATCAATGATGAAAATAAACCTAAAAAACGGAAAGTTATAGAGATTATTGATGATGATCTCAGTTCTGAAGAAAACTCCGAAACTATTCAACAAGCTCGTGAGGGTACTTATCCTGTTGCAAAAGAAGCCGCAAATATTACTGGAGAACATGTAAAGGACTTTAGTGAAGGAAGGAAAGGTTTTCAGGAAACCGCAAAAGGTGGAGCGAAACAATTGGCCACACAATTTAAGAGCAGAGTCTCTGATTATGCCAAACCACTTAATGTAGCGTATGGACTTTACGAAAATGAGTATGTATCTATTTAGTGCTTGACTTATCTTGTTTAATTAAATAATTCAATAATAATGTCTATTCTTTATTCTTTATTATAAAGTTCTTCTTATATTTTAATTTTACATACACCCGGAATTGAAAATAAATCTGATCTCATGGTCACGATAAATTTATTATAATTAATGGATCTTTTAATGAAAAAGTAGCTGGAAAAGCTATCTCAAGTAATTTACCAGTAGGACAATTCGAAGCACAAGTAGATCTCCCAAACAAGTGAGTTATTTAGTTTTATTGTTTTACAATTGCTTATAACTGACATTCATCTTTTTTAATAGAATAGAGGCAATTTCTGCCAAGATTGAAGTTGAACACGGCATATCAACAATTACTTTAAGGAAAAGTAATACCGGAAAAATTCTTGAAATAATTTAGTTAATTAGTTTTAAATTTCATCATGTTCTTTAAGGAGTGAGGCTAATGTTAAATTTTCAAAAATCTGTTAATAAAGTTATTTGCTTTTAAAAAATGAAAATCATAAACTCTTATTTTATATTTTACAAATTATTTTTTTTTTAAAATCCACTAGTATATGTTCAAATGTATATGTGTATGTAGTTTATTATGGTTCAACGTATCTAGATCCAAAGAAGTGCAAAGCCAATAACTTTGATCCAATAAAGTAAGCAATTTTATAGAAACTTCCTACTCAAGTTACTTTACCAACGTCTCCATTTTTTACATAGGCGATCGATACAATATTTGAAAAAATCGAAAAAGAAAGAGGCCGTTATTCAAATGAATTAGGGGACATTCATTACAATGATTTTGGCACTAATATTGAACAAATTTTACAAAATTTCCATTAAAATAAGAAAGATTGGTATGTCAAGTATGGGGAGACGGGCAAGTGCGGATGATCAAAATTCTCAAAAAAGGGATGAAGAGCGCCGATCCTCTGGAAGGAAAGAAGAGAAAGAAGAATTTTCGGTCACAGAAATTAGTGGACCCCCAGCTCAGAAAGATTGGTCACATTTCACGGGTGATCGAATGAAAATAGTCAAGATGCTGAAGACGCTCATGAATAGATATGCAATGCTTTGTCTAAACTCGGACATCAGAATCGTGAAATTATATGGAATGCAATTTACTGTAAGTCAATAAATGGTTTATGTTATCATGTTATTGTCACATATTATTAACTCTAGTTTTCAATATATCAGCTTATTGTCTATTCCAACTTAAATACTCCGAAATTTACACTGTACGTGAGGTATTAAAATTCCCTCTACCACAAACAAGGAAAGACATGAAGAAAGCTCATGAAACTGTAATTGGTTTCTTGAATTATGAGGTTTGTATATATCAGAGAAAATGATGAAACTTCTCGGTCTATGACAACTTGAATGGTTTATTCCTCTAAAGGTCCTAGTAAAATTTTTTGGGATGAGATGTCTCAAAGATTTTTTGGCAGAATTTTACGTACCATGCACAGACTTATTGAGTAGTGCATATAATGCACTAAGTTCGTCAAGTAATTCCTGTTCGTGATAAACTTGCCAAGAAAGCGCGAGATATTTTTAATAAGTTATAATGTAATAAATAAATATATTAATAAATTTTTATATATTATTATAATACATATAATTGTCCCAAACTTTGGATCAAGTGATATAAAATATGTTATAAAATATGTTAAAAAAATATTCGCAATCTTTGTAACAAAAAATTGATGTAATAATAATAAAATTCATGGGAATTTATTCAATGTTATGTTGCGTTGTAAATGAAAACCTGTCTATATATTAAATTATTTTTATTTTGTTCTAAAATTTGATTTTGTTTCAGATCGATCTGTATCATAAAGACTGTTGCAGAGAAACGAAACTAGCTTCCGCTTTATTAATACAGATATAAAATAAATACAAGTGCGGGGCTTTATCCGTGATACATAATGAATTTTCAATACTAAATACCTACGGGATTATATTCGTCCAATATCTCTATTTTTCGAACGATACTCCTCTATCTTAGACCTCTTCCTATCGGGTTCTTCGTCCAAACATGCCCTATCCTTTATTAATCCAATGATCGCGCCCAAACCTTATTCACACTATTACGTAACGTTTGGTATTCTTCGGAGCCTTTGTTCAGATTCATATGGATAATCGAAGTCATCATCGTCCCGTTTCTTGTTCGTTTCGTACGAACTCTCGAGTTGCTTGATATTTGGACAAAATTTTCGAGGATGCTACGCCGGACCTTGTCTTCTGTGGTCTCGAGGATATATGTTGTTAGCATGCCTCTCGAAATAATAAAATTCACGGAAAAATGTCGAGAAAAAAAAAAATCTCATGCCTACGATTGCGTAATCAAAACTCGTCCGAAACTTTCATCACCAATTATTTCGTATTCAGGTCTCATAGTCGATTTCTTGCTCGTGAGGTCTCTGCGATATAAAGGGATGCATTACGCATAAATTCCAATTTATATACAACCAAAGATCCATAATTCTTCATCCTGAATAAAATATTTTCCACGCAATGCTCGAAATGCTTGTTGGTGTCTTGAATTTCATGGGTTTGGTAATCTTGAGAAAGGCACGATCGTCAATCTTATTGCGAATAATTTTTTCATCGTCCTCCGTATTATATTTTTTAACTTCGGAGTGTCTCATTTCCAGGTGTATTAGTAATTAATTAAGTTCTATAAACACTGATTCATATAGATATATGATAATTTTATTAATCATGATTAATTTTAAATGTAGCCATCTTGAGATTTCATTCCAAGTCACTGCTAATTTATCATTGTCAATATTTCAACACCATGGCAAATATTCTAGCTGTTTGATCAAGACTTTAAAAATTTTAAATTAGAAAAAATCGTTATTTTACATGTATGTATTTTTAAGAGACTTCCCTCACTGATGTAAGATAATTAAGACCTTTACGTGATTTTTATGTGATTTTATATTATGAGCCATAATTATGAATTTTAATGTTTATAATATAATTTATTTTAAAAATGAGAACTTTTTTTTTTTTCAAATTTTTAACAAATTTTATTTACCATCAATTCACTTACAAAATATGATTATTAAAAATAGAACTCTTTCAGTAATTCAATTAAACTTAATTTTGTTTACAAAAAAAAAATCATTTACCTCCTATAAATTTTGGTTAAATTGGTTTAAAAAGTAATCCTTATAAATTATCAACTTTGTTTACACTGATTAAGTTAAATCTCATTTTTAAAAAAGGGTTTCACGTCAATGTGTTAATGTGTTACCCTCCCCCCTTACTCTATTGTAATACGGCGAACGTTTTATTAATGAAAGGAAAACTAAATTCTAAGAATTTCTTTTTTTTTTTTTTTTTTTTNTTTAAATTAGAAAAAATCGTTATTTTACATGTATGTATTTTTAAGAGACTTCCCTCACTGATGTAAGATAATTAAGACCTTTACGTGATTTTTATGTGATTTTATATTATGAGCCATAATTATGAATTTTAATGTTTATAATATAATTTATTTTAAAAATGAGAACTTTTTTTTTTTTCAAATTTTTAACAAATTTTATTTACCATCAATTCACTTACAAAATATGATTATTAAAAATAGAACTCTTTCAGTAATTCAATTAAACTTAATTTTGTTTACAAAAAAAAAATCATTTACCTCCTATAAATTTTGGTTAAATTGGTTTAAAAAGTAATCCTTATAAATTATCAACTTTGTTTACACTGATTAAGTTAAATCTCATTTTTAAAAAAGGGTTTCACGTCAATGTGTTAATGTGTTACCCTCCCCCCTTACTCTATTGTAATACGGCGAACGTTTTATTAAAAATACGAAAAATACGTGTGTACAATGTGTAATATTTTTTTTTTTTAACAAAAAATAAAGTTACATTCATCCTGTGGTACAGTGTAAATAAATAAATCACACGATAAAACAATTAACATTTAAAGGAAATTATACCCTGAATATTAAAAAGCTATATACGATATATACGATGTCAGATAATGACTAATGAGATAGTACAAATGGTACAATATTATACTATTATAATATATATCAGTAAACTATACTATTGATAATCTTTACAATGGTCAATGGTAATAAATGAAGTCGTAAGGCTGAAAAAAAACGATCATCAGTACATTTGTTGTGCCTCATGTGGCGCAGTAATTTTTTTTATTGAAAAAAAATGCAAGAGGAATTAATTAATTCAAAGATCAATGTTAATTGTTAATCAAATATGTAAGAATAAAATTAAGTTATAAAAAAAAAAATTTATATTAAATATTCGTATTTTCTATTTTCTAAATTGTCAAAAGAAAATCAAATGATTCATAAATTATGATACTGTATATCCTATTTTTAACCAATCTCTCCAATTGTTCTAATCGGGTTATACATATTATATATATTATTCAGTTCATTTCAGACAAAAGTATTGAATCAATTTCTGCCGGATCTTTTATTAAAAAATTAAAAATCAATCGGTAAGAAATGATGAATTTTTTAACGTGTTTCCGAACGTTTAATTATTTGATTTAATTTGATGAACGAAACAAAATATTCTTTACAATTATTATATTTCAAATGAGAAATATTTTAATAGTTCATCACGATCTGTTATTTCATCACGATCTTTTATCTTAATACGTTCATTTTTTTCAAATTATGATAAAAATTTAAAAAAAATTGTAAAGAATCAAAAAATATCCAAAAAAATTTCGGAAAAAAAAATTATTATTTTTTTTTATTCTTATTAGGAAAAAAAAAAGTAAAAAAAAAAATAATAGATACAATTCAATACAGGAAAAAAAAAAAGAAAATTATATATATATAGAATATAAATACAAGAATTTCACAATTTCACAATTTAATATAAAGGGGGGGTTTGATTATAAAAAAAATTCATTATTATAAATAAAGTTATCAGGAATTACTACTATCTTATAAAATACTTTGTACATTTTATTTTATTTTATTTTATTTTATTTTATTTAATTATTTAATTTTTCTTTTTATGCTTTATCTTCAATTATTTCTGATGGACTTTTATCAATACCATCAGTTTTCTTTTCGTGAGTAATTCTTTGTCCTCGAATATCTCTTATCATTCCAACAATTACAGTAGTAATACTTCTTCGAGATTCAACAACCTAAAAAAAATTATTAATTTAGTAATTATTCTTTAAATTAATCATTTTAAAATTAAATGAATAATAAAAACTTACTGGATAAATTGTACATGCAATTGTAGCAATAATTGCCCAAATCATAGAAATAGCAACCCAAAATGTGAAGAATGGTCTTGAGAATACATATCTTGTACCATACATTGGTAATGGCCAAATTATAATTAATATGATCGTTAATGCGACAGAACTAATGATAGCAAAGTTGAAAGCTTTTGTCAATCTAACAGGATCTTTTTCCATTGGATCTTCATGAATGGCATTTTCAACTACTTCATCATCTGTTAAAATCTCTAATTTTTGTCGTGTTATATCGAAATTAAAATTTGCTGGTTTAATCAATGATACTATTGTTGCTACTAATCCTGAAATGATCAAAGATGAACTGAAAAAGAAAATTTCACAATTAAGAAATAAGATTAAGATCTAAAAAAAAAATATATATATATATGCAAATATATTAATATCTTACAGATTTCCGGCCAACATAGGATAATTATCACCAGTTGATTTAAGTGTAATTTCACCAAATAATTTTTGTGCAGCAACAAGCCATGCTATGATACCACAAATAAGACCTAATAAAGCACCAGCAACAGCTGCAACGGCAGTTTGTTTTTTCCATACGAGAGTATATGCAACAGGAATAACGGCAGGTGATGAAATAATTCCCATAAGCAAATACATATATCCTAAATCAACACCAATGTAATTAAGTATAGTAGCTAAAGCACCCATTAATAGACCAAAGAAAATAACAGATGCATGTGATTGACGAATAACTTGTTTTCCAAGAGCCTAAACGAAATTGATAAATTAATTATTATGTCAAAAAAAAATAATTTGATATAATGTAATTATTTATACTTACACCAGAGTGAATATATGTACGATAGATATCATAAGTATAAATTGATGATACAGCAATAAGTTCAGCTGAAGCAGCAGATCTATAAATAAAAAAATTTTTATTAATAATTTATTTTTTTTTTTATAAAAAAAACTTTCAATTCAATAATACATACGTGACAGCCATGAAAACCAAGACCATAACAGCAAAAGCACCTGCTTTACCTAATAGAGCAGTAGCAGCCAATGGAAGTACCAAACCAGCAGAAACCTCATGATCTGTAGGAGGATCCATTTTACCAGCACCAACAAGAGCGACACCAGCAATACCCATAGTTGTAGCCAAGGTAAATGGAATTGAAAACCATGATAAACCACCAATTAAATAAGCCTTTACAGTAGAAGAAGGACGAGCAGCAATAGCACGTTGCCAGTAAGCATTATCCACAAATACGGTTCCAAAATTACCAACAATGTTGATAATACCAAAAATTATTCCTTGTAAAGATGCCATTGTTACATATGAACCTTGTTCATTATCTACTACGGGATTTTTTATTGAAGCATCAAGCAACAAATCATACATTTTTCCTGGAGATCCGATAACATCAGATGAAGCGTAAACGGTGAATAAGAATGAAAGAATGATAATATAAATGACACTGGTATGAACGTAATCTGTCAAGAATGTTGCTTTTAGACCACCAAATAATGTATAAACCAATACACCAAGAGGAAGTAAGAAACAACAAGCAATAGTATTAACACCGGTAAGTGCATTCACGACAGCTGAACCACCGAGTAACAACATAGCAGTTACAATAACTAAAAAAAAAAAGAAGAATTTAAATTTCCCGAAAAAAAAAAGAAAGAAAAAAATTTTTTATGATGTTGATTACTTACCGTTGGTGAGCATACCAAAAATTAAAAATATAATATGAGTTGCTTTTCCATAACGAGCATTAACAATTTCAAGGAAAGTATGTGCATTTGGAGCCTTTCGTTTAACTTCGACAGCAAGAATAGCAAAAAGTAAAACCTATATTAAGAAGAAAAATTATTTAAGTGATGATGTTGCTAGTGATACGACATAAATACTTGAATCTGCACAATAATTACCTGAATGGTTGCACCAGATGCATACCAGAAAGGTCTTCAAAAAAAAAAAAAAATATTTTTTTACACGTTAAAAAAAGAAAAGAAGATATAATTATAATAATTCAAATTATATAATATTATATACCCAGATACACCATATTTATATGCAACAGATGAAGATTGTAAAAGTGTAGCGGCCCAAGTCCAAGAAGAGACCACAGCAGATGCTACAAGACCAGTTTTTACAGAACGATGAGCTGTCATAAACATTTCAGAAGTTTGATGTTCTTGAAGATAACGTTTTTGAGCCAACGTTAAGAGAGACATTACAATCGCAAAGAATGCACCAAATCCCAAAACTATATAAAGTGATTTTGAATATTAATTTAGAAAATGAATTTAAATAATGAATATCAAGTAATATAGAAAAATAATTACCGATTCCCCAACCAACTCCTTGTTCAAGAGGAGGACCGGCCATTTTTTTAATTTAAAAATTTGAAAGATTTTTTTAAAAAGAAATAATTATTTACAAAAAATATTAAAATCCTTTGAAAATAAAAACAAAAGAAACTATAATTTCATATAAGAAGGTTTGTTTCTTTAGATTTATTTGCAATGGATAGCTGGTTGCTGGCGACTTTGGATGAAATTTGTGGTGTATTTATACAGTTAATTTTTTTTAAAAAAATCTAGATAAATCAGATAAATTCATCTTTTTGAAATATTTAAGTTAACCGAGGAAAAGTAATTTAAAATCAAGATTTCTTTCATAAAAAAAAAAAATAAAATAATAAAATATAAAAATATATAAAATTGCGATACATATTTATTTTGATTAAGATCATAAGATATTTGATCTGAGTATTCATTTCCCAAAACTTTTTTTTTATATAAATATAAAATAAAAATATCAACTATAAAAAATTAACAAAAAAGAAATAAATTAAGATAACGGGGAATATCAAAAAAAAACTGGGTTTAGTCATTATATAAATAATTAAATAATCAACCGGAATATTTTTTTTTTATAATGAAAATATAAAAAAAAGTTTAGGAAAGAATTTCTTATTAAAGAAATTATGCGCAGATTTATTTGTGTAATTTGAACAATTTTCTATCAATGGAAAGATTAACTGAGTCAATCAACAATATTAAATAGTAAGAACAATTTTTTTTTTTATCATGTTATTATGAATGATTTACATTAACTACTTAAGTGATAAAAACGTGTTAAATTTATATATCAAGGTTACACCAGCAATTTTGTCTCGATATATTATGACTATCAATAACCCGTGTAACACATGCATGTTTAACCTTCTTATCTTTTGACCAAAATGGTTTAGTTACGATCCAGTAATCAACAATTGGTTTTTTTCATATATCTATTTTTTTTATTGTTTAAAAATGGTTTAATTTCTCCCTTTTTTTACTCTTGTAAAATGTTATTCGAGATTAAAGATAAGAGATAAGAGATAAGTTCAAAATATTTTTTTTTTTGACGCAAAAAAATCATCAGAATCTTGAACCAGAAATAAATTCAGATTATCAAATTCATTCGAACTGGAAGAAAGATGAGAATTTCTTGCAAAAATCATTAATGATTGATTGGATTTTGCTCGTAAATATGTAAATATTCATTAATTATTATCTCAGATTTATTATCGCATGAAAATAATGTGAAATGCATTTAAACATGAAATTGCATTAACCATATTTAGTATAATATGATCGACAATTCGGACACTTACTTATTAGGAGATTCCGAGGGAGATTACCGAAAAATCCGAATAAAAGTATTTAAACAGAAGACTTTAAAAAAAATTAAAGAATTTTGTTTTCAAAATTCCTTTTGTCGCAATAGATAAGAAGGTTACAATCACATTCATTGTAAAAGTACTAAATAAGATGATACCATGGCTGAAAAAATGATTTTGGTAACAACAACAACAACAACAATAATAAACAAATTTTCTTTTTATGTAATCTTATCAATTTCTTTTCAAAGTTGGAACAAAAAAAAATTTCTTTAGAATGATAAGAAAGAATTGATGAAATTTTGTTGTGACAAAAGTTCCAAAAAGGAAAAAATGGTCATGAATACTTTTGAATGTTATCAAAATTTTTAAAGTTTCCAATTATGCAGAATCTTACATTTGATTATCAATCTATAAATGTGAGGTTGTTCAGACAAACAAGTATTTAAATTTGGATGATCGTCCTAAATTTGTCCGAGTGTTTATGTAAAATTCCTTATCAAAAGTCCCGGATATACCCTGTTATCATTGCGATAGGTTTGAGTGTCTTTTTTTTTTATTTTTGGAAATTTGATTGTAGGAATATTATTTCTATAATTGCAATTGTTCTTTTTTAACCTATATCAAAGAGAGAAAGTAATGTAATTTTATTCTGCGTTTTCTGCGCTTGCAAAGAGATAATTTTATTCTACGTTTCAAGGAAAATATACAAAAAAAAAATGTCGATTAATAATAAAAATTTCCGATAATGTTTTTATAATAAACGGGTTAAAAAAAAAATCCTGTTTGTTTAAAACTTTATGGTACCTGCGCCATTTAGAGACATGTGATCTTTGAAATTATCCGCTAAACCTTATTTGGACGAAAACAATGGCGATTGTGACACTGACATTGATAATTTTTTATCAGAGATAGGAAAATTAATAATATAAACGCAGTTAATTCGATTATTTTCGATAATAATATAAAGAAATGCATTAATATAGTTCCAAGGATTCGGAGTTTATGCTAGCGTGATAATTGTTATGCGTGTTCTTTTTAATAAAAACACAGAAGCAGGATTTTAAACAGGAATTCACTCGAGTTTATTAAGGTTTTAAATTTTAAATGAAAGATTGTATTATCTGATTTGATTTATATTATTAAGGTATATCAGATATATTATATTATTATACTATATAATTATAATATTATATTAAAATATATTATTTAAATTATATACGCGAAAAAAAAAAAAAAATCAGGAAAGAAAACAAGTTTTCTCGAAAAGAATATATTAACAATAATAAATAGATCTTCTTCAACTTTTTTAAACAAACAAAAAGTGATAAACCTTAAAAGAAAATCTGTGGGAATGTGGGAATATATATTGAATAATACTGAAAATTATTTCGTGATCTTATGATGTCATCGTATTCACGTATTGAGTAGTTGAAAACTGTCAAAATATGATCTAACCATTAAAATAATCCAGTTATTATGTTGACCTTATACGCTTTTTACGCTTTATTTACATTTTTATTTATTATTTATTTTTGTAAGAAATAAAATTTCTTTTTCGATAATATTATTATATTTTATTATTATTATTTACACAAAAAAAATGTTTGAAATTTTCTTACACTAAATGACTTTATAAAAAATTATCATACGTTACTTAAATTTCCTTTAATGTGAAAATGTGTTCATAATGTTCCTATTTTTGCTTTAAATTTGAAATTCAGTTCTTATTTTATGTAAAACGAGATCTAAACAAATTGTGCTACGGAATGACAAAGTTTATAACATTTATCGTAAAATAACCCAAAAATGAAAATTCTATACCTTTTAATTAAAACCCTGTAAATCGGGTAATAATGGTATAATGCATTATAATATCGTCTGATTTTTGAGATATGAAATTAGGATATTAGCACGTGATCATCACATGAATTCGTAATATTATTGATTTGGAGTTTGTGACGATTTTCGAAATTTTTGTCAGAATATATTCAAATTAACGGATGAGTTCAAAAATTTTAGTTTATACTGTAAAAAAATCATCAAAGAGGATCCTAACAATAAAGACCTTACGAAATAATAAAATCTATTTTTTTTTTTTATTTGAAAGAGAAATATGGAAATGATGGGCAATCTATACTTTACTAATTAAAGCATGAAGCGACCTATTTTGTTAATTTATTGATTTATTCAGGGGATAATCCGGATCAGTTTGTTATGGAAATAGATCCGGAATATTCTCCCATTATATCATGAAATTCATTTTGTGAGAATTCATCAACTCTAATTTTACCTACCTACTATACTTAGCTTAGAGGTTAATAATTTTACGAATGTGATATAATTTGAAATAAAAAAATTTTTGAATTGCATAATTTAATATCCGATAAAATCAAAAATCCGGTTTTACCGAAAATCGTGATCTTATTTGAACCCAATAGGTAAGGTTGAAATAATTGAAATAATTTAAAAATTTTTTTTTTTTCTTAAGGAAAATCAACAAAGTTAATCGGCAAATCATCGTTAATATACAAGTATATGTTTTTATTATCTTTACTAATCTACTAAGAAAAGTCGCATATGCGCGTAACAGATTTTATTGTTATAATTTTTTCTTTTTTTTTTTGCATTATATAAATTATTTATAGGACCTGCTGTTGAAATTTGAAACTCGAGCAAAAATAAAACTAAAATCTGCGATTTTATTGGAAGACGATCACGTGATTTTTCATAGTACTCCATAGCGAAGCGCAAATAGTCCAAATACTAAAAAAAAGAAAAAAAATACATATTTTTTTGTGAATCTGTCATATTATTTTGAGAAAATTTGTTTGAAGTCAAAGTGACAATTTTTAAACTCGGTTTCAGTTATACTATAAAGTATATTATTTATTTTTTAATTTGAACTCATTTTTAATGTTTTAATATTTTTAATACCTCAATCTCGCTCTTTTCTTATCAAATTGAATCGATAATGTATAATAATAATTATGAGACAATGGTAGTGTTTGGTACATGAATAGAAGTTTTATGAACGAAAGGCGTAAAAAGTTCTTTCCTTGATCGTGCCTCTGCTGGAATTATGATGGACATTACGAATGCTACTGTACACCTACTACACATCAAAAAAAATCCAACTTAAATAATAGATTATTACGATAATGATCCGTCAGTGATAAAGATAGAAATGCAATAGAACCGATAACTATTAAGAAATTAACAATAAAATATAAACAAATTACACGTTCAAAATAATCAGATTGTTATTTCTAATAAGAAAAGAAATTTATTAACGTTGAGTATTTCTTTAAAGAACAATAACTGGTTTTAACATTTGGTTCAACGATAAAGTCTCGATGAATTGAAAGACCTTCTTTTAAAATTTGCAAGTTTCATGAATATTAGTTTAAAAATTTTAACAATTATTGTACTGTATTTTTATTCTACTCAATCCAAGTTCTGGTTAATTTAGCATCAACTTTTCTAATAAAATAAATCTTTTACGGTAAATAAATGTAGACAAAATCTTTTGTTCGAAGAAATACCAAAAGGTGAACCGACGAGGCGACGACTATTAAGGATTACATATTTCCGGAACAAGTAGTGGATATTAAAGATTTATGGGATGATAATACGCAACTAGGAAATAAATTACCGTCGAAGAAGAATTCGAAGAATTTCATAACGTTAATTCGGTTTGTTCTTCGCGTTTACCGGAAAAAAAAAGAAGAAACAGTAGACGTAAAAATAGGCACAAACGAACTAACGAATAATCCGTGGATAAATCAGAAAAAGGATATTTCGGATAAAAAGGAGAGAATAAGAAAAAAGAAGAAAGGAACATCGAGCACCAGTCTTTAAGGATGTAGACGTGGAATTGACGAATTACTGTATTTAGTTTAGATCATTAGATTAGGCAGTTAAATTTATTAATTTAGTCTCAAATTCTTAGATTAGAATAGATATAACAAAAATTTTATTATGATAATAAATCAAGCGTTTGCTTTTAAAAACGTGCTCGGTGTTAATAAAGAGAATTATTAAAAAAAAAAAATTGAATTTTCTGTTAAATTTTCTCTTCATTTAAATCTCTCATAATAAATATACTCGGTATCATGCATACTCTGGCTATTTTTTAATTACTTGAAATACTTCATAATTCTCTACTGTAAAATTAGACGTACTTGGAATACCTATATCAGGATAGTAATTTCCAGCAACATCAGAGTTTCTCCAATTGTTATTACCCCAACAGAGAAAATCACTAAAGCTCCGCACGAGCCGGCTCGAGCCGAGCCGAGCCAAAATTCGAGCCGGCTCGGCTCGATTAGAATTTTCGAGCTTGGATCGTGTCAAGCCAACCTCGAGCCGAGCCGAGCCGAGTTTTAAGGTGGCTTGGCTCGAGCCGAGCCGAGCTTTTATCAAATTCTGCATATTTCTCGTGATTTTTTTAATTTTGGCCGGAATTAAGTAATCGACATGGAAATTTCCTTTTTTGAACACATGAGTAACGTTACACAAACCAAAAAAGGCAATTTTATTTCTTATCAAAAATGGGGAAATGCGTTGCACAGGATTCCAAAAAAGGAAATTTCCATGTCGATCACTTAATTCCGGCCAAAATTAAAAATCACGTGACGCCGGCAATAATAAAGAA